AGAGAATATAGATTTTTCCAAAGAAGTAAACAAAAGTATATTACACATTCATAATTAATTTCGAATAAGTTCAATGAATATTAAACTTTGTATTTAGTATTTAGTATGCTCATGTATGTTTATTCACTAAAATATATTTCATGTTTTGTCATATAAAGAAAGTTTTAATTTCATCTTTTGGGGTCTCCTTTTCATTCATCCAACTTTTTTAAGACTAATTTGGGGATAAAAATAATTTCCAAATTTTCAAACTTTTGTGGTTAAGGTAAATTCAGTTTCTTCGAAATCGATAGTCAATTATTTTGTATTTTTAAGACTTTACAATTTAAATGTAAATCTTTTAACCTAAATCTCCCTAATTGTTAAGAAAAAATATTTTCTCTCATTTAAATGTAAATCTTTTAACCTAAATCTCCCTAATTATTAAGAAAAAATATTTTCTTTCATGCTTAAAACTTATGGTGTACATATTAACTCAATTAAAATTATAAAATTGGACGTAAATTATTATTAGAAAAAGACATTTGAAATGTATTGCATTTGAATTATTGATTTCCAACCATTTCAATGAAAATAAACTTTGTATTTATTATTTTATCATGTTTAGTCATTTAAAGCAAGTTTTAATTACTAGTATTCTTCTTATATGTAACAATATTGATTTGTCCTAATTATATGTTGAAAATGAAGTTACTAATAAGCAATTGACAGTCAGAGTACTACTTGAAAGGGATGTTTTATTTCTTAATTTTTGAAAACGATATATTTAGTTGAACGTGAATATTCGAATAGTGAAATCGAATCAATTTTTATTTGAAAAGAGGATTTTATCATATCTATAATAATTGAATGTATAACACTTGTTGTTTTATATATATATAGAGGGAGAGAGAGAGATAAATATTAAGTTTGAGATGTTTTATTTCTTAATTTTTGAGAATAGTATATTTAGTTGAATCTGAATATTCGAATAGTGAAATCGAATCAATTTCTATTTGAAAAGAGGATTTTATTCATACCTATAATAATTGAATGTATAACACTTGTAATTATGTAAAACATTAAATTAATTTATATCAATAAATTTTTTTAAAAAAAATGACGGTTAACGGTAATGATGATAGTCAGTAATTACGGTTGTGGTACACGTTAATTTAGAGATGGTGTTAGTTGATGATGTCGTTGTGTGCAGTAGAGTAGATATTGATATAGTGATTGTTAATAGTGATTGATGATCGTAACTGGCGGTGATATTTGATACTTGTGATAAATGATAATAATGCGTAATTATTTCGGTGAGTACTATTAAATGTATTTTTGAAAGTGCATAAAATCTTAACAAATAAATATGGTACCAAAGGGAAATAATTTATAAGTCAAATAAATTTTTTAAAATAAATGAAAATTTTACGTATCCCAAATCCATTTAGGGACCCAAAAAATCAAGGATATATAATTTAAATACAATGGAAATTGACGATGCAAAACTAGCTGGCTTATCAACTCATCCTCAAGGTTTTCCTATTCGTACCGTTTGGTGTATAAAAAATCTCGTGTTAATCGAGTTTGAGAAAAATTTAGATATTCTATCTTAATGCACATTAATAATTATTTCTACGACACAAACTCATATCATATAGATCACACGAAAATAATTTTGTCATTACTCTAATTAAACTCTCCTTAATTTATCTGTACAAATACTATTAGATCACAAGGTTTTCCTATCTCTACAGTTTGGTGTATCAAAAATCTCGCGTTAACAGAGTTTAGAGAAGAACATGTCACTAGACATTCTATTTTAATGCATATTAATGACCATTTCTACCATTCGAACTCATGTCATATAGATCATACGAAAATAACTTTATCATTAATTCCACACCATCCTGACCTACACAAACACTATTACTCTATTAAATCACATGTTTTTTCTAACGTAATCAACACAATTTTTTTTACATTTCATTTTCACCTAACCAACTCACCAAAAAACGCACGATAACATACCAAATTTATTGAAGCCATAAGCCCATAACACATATTCCAGACTTTTATTAAAGCTAAGAATAAAGAATTATTAATTTTATTGCATTATAAGGTTACATATGGCTGCTCCATTTTAGTTGTTCTCATTCAATACTCCCTACATTTAGCCTTTCTACAGCTGTGACACTTCATAAATATTCTCACTAGTTCTTCTGACTATCTTTTAACTTCGATCTGAGACGAATTTAAGATTTTAATTTTATAAATTTAACTTTTTTTTTAATTTTATAGTTCATTTGATTTTTTTGCGATTCGGACATATTATTTATATCTATCTAATATATTTCTTAACATCTGTAATAATTACTCGATTTTATAATATACTCAGAGGCACATCATTACGTAATTCGATTCATTTAACACGATATTTTTTAACGTGTATAAAGCATAATTCACTATGATTGAACAAAGAGTAAATTTGAACCTTAGATTTTAAAAGATTGCCACACTCGAGATCAATATACCTGTTCTACGATTCGATTAATCTAAATTTGCTCCACATGATAGTTTTGGAAAACACTCCTTACCGAAAAATTTCATTTCGAAAGCTTAAACTTTAAATAATAAAATCATATTTATCTCATTATACCTTTCGATAATAATCGACTTATATTATACTATAAATATAAATAATCCGCCCCTACTTGAAAGTACGATATGCATTAAATTAAATTAATCAGTAGGCAGGTAGAGTGGTAGATCAAAGATTCAAGTCTATTAGCATTAATTGAATGTATTTGAGTAATAATATATATATTACTCTTAAATCATACCAATCTTTATTCTATTTATTATTATACTTACACCCCTTTTATTATTTAGCTAGCTATAATTATTTTTATCTTAAATATTTCAAGAACTTTTTACTGCCATTATGTTAAGAGATTTGTACATGTGGAATAAGTCAATTGACAAAAATACTATGACCAACCTTAGTATCACAAGTTTGGATACGGTGACGAAGATAGAAATTTTAATTTTATTGAGAAAAATAAAATAAATATAGTATAAAAGGTATACATACGACGAAGTTAAAAAGATTTAATGTAATATAAATATTAAATACAAAAAATGTATATTTTTTAACAAAATGATATATCAACCAACTTACTCTTGTCAGGGGTTGAGCTATCCTAATCTCCTTTGACGGAAAATTATATCATTTATACATGATTAAAATATGTTTATATGTATACATACTAGATGTCGAACCCCCCTTCGGCTATCTATTTCTACACATTTTGAACTTAATTATTGAAAATCATGGCTCCGCCTCTGACTCTCGTATTGGACAATGAGGCTTCGCGATGGACAATATATTCATGATTAATAACCCCTATTACCTCTTTCTCTAACATAATTTATGAAGAAATTAAATAAGAGGGGTCATTTATTGAATCCCTATATTCATCCCAAACTTATTGTGTTAAGATCAACCAGAGTTGTAGTGAAGTTTTAAATACTTTATTTTTTAAATTTTAATCAAGGTCTCACGTTCTAGCCGTGCTAAATACATAATCGTCTTTGTTAAGAAGCAATTTATCTCTCAATCAGAAATTTTTTGACACTAACTCAAATATAATCAGACCCCAATATAAATAACGGTACGTTCATCTCTATTATTGTCCTCTCCTTTCACTTCATTACCTAAAACAAGCCCACATAATATTAATTTGGTTTGGATCATTGCACCAAACTTACCCTAGCCCAGACATTTTGGGCTATGTTATGGGGCCTACATGACTTCAGTAATGTTGTTGTAATAGGTAGAAATGACACTAGTCACTTTTAAAGACACTATTTAAAACATAGTCAAAATTTATAATGTCTTTTTAACATAATACGACCCTTAACTTAATATCAGTTGTCAATTACGATCTTTAACTTTTGATGTGCACAAGTAGACACTTAAACGTGTATAAAATTGAGCAAATGAACGCATTCATCCTACATGGCATCCTACATGACAATTCTGTATCCTATATGACATTCTACGTGTATTATGCCATGTAGGACACTTGTATCTACATGTTTATTCTTATACAAGTTTAAGTGTCTACTTGTGCACATTCAAAGTTGGAGGACATAGTTTTTCGTTGAAGCCAAGTTAAAGGTCGTGTTTATGTATTATGCCCTTTAAAATTCAATCATTTTTGTTGTTGTCATAAGTAGAAGGAAATAGTATATTATTTAATATAGCTTAAATTTCATATAATTATGAATCACGACTACTGTTTAATGAAATTTGCTATGATGAATCTCAAGTATTTGTATAAACGCTATTTGTATAAATTTCTATATTTGTATATGTATTAGTAATAAATTTATTATTATACTATACATATTTGTACTTATTTGTGTGTATACTAACTTCCATTTATGGTGTTTTGTTGTATATTTTTATTTATTTTTAGTTGTATATTTTTTTGGTATATTATCTCCCACAATATTTTATACGGATCAATTGTATGGTCTCAACAACTTATATACAATTACTTATTTATTCATATTAATAGTTTGTATACAATACAAATAATTGTATATAATTTATTACTTGTATAAACCTAATTTATTTAATTTATTAAAAAATGGTGAAATATAAAAAAAAAACGTTTAGTATAGAAAATTGAATTATATCTATAGAACGTAATTAGATAAATTGTAGCTAAGGAGGTTTTCTGGGCCTTGCCTTTTCCTGTGTTAAGTCTTGGCTGATTTGCGTGAATGTTTTGCCTTGTATGGCCTTTTTTAAGCTACTCTTTAAATTCTAACCTATCAAACAATTCACTTTTTAAAATGTTAATTGTTAAGTAATCTTAAAAAGGCTATTTTTTAAAGTATCTTAATTTGCATAAATAACCCTTTTGTGACTTTTGGATTTAGAAGTTGGTCATTTTTTTCAAAGTTGGACCAGTAATCTGAATTTCAAAAGTAGTCACAAATGTCAAAAGTAATTTTCAACAAAATCACCCATCTTTAATAGAACAAAAGTTCAAGTTCATGATTTTTCTTCAACAAGCAGATTATGGTACAACTTAATGCAAATTTTTTTTACAATATACAAGGGAACAGTTCCTCTCCAAAGCTCATTTCAAATTTGTCACAAACAATTTTTCGGAGGCGTGCTAGGAAAATTCTCGAACTCTTCAAAAACATTGTTGCACCTGTATCAAATCATCTAGAAATGCACTTACTTTTGGAGGATCCAACACCTCCAACACGCAGCTAGTGACATTTTTAAAGAGTCTGAGCAATATCATAGTAGGAAACAAATGTACCAAATAGACTTGCATCTGGAGCAACTTTCATCTAGCTTTTGTTTGAAAAACTCTATTGTACCAAATTGAATGAAGTGTCATATGAAACAAGTCATATTTTACCGGCTTCGCGTGCCAAAGGAAATGGCGCTGAACCTTCCTGATAGCTAGTTGCATATCGAGATACTTCTTTTCCGGTATGGAGAGAAGTATGCTTTTCAAGTTCGGAATGTCCTTCTCAGCTAGGATTAAAGAGAACGTATCCCAATTCAAGACTCCGAAAAAGGGAGGCACGAAATTATCTGATATGATCACGGGCACACATTCGTAAAATATGGCCTCTACTACTCGCGGGCTGTTGACTTCATAGCCCTTTGGACAGATGCAGAACTTACTGCTCTTCATATGCTGGATATAGTTCATTTTGCTAGCAACACCACTTGGCATTGGACCAAATATCTCCATATCGGGATCTTTGTCTTTCCAATGCTCGAGCAAGATTGGACGCAAGTATCCGTGCATATTCCCAGCATAGAATGCAAGAACTTTTCTTTGAGATGCTGGTTTTCCTCCGAGATCTCTAAGAGGATTTCTGGCTGAACGAACATATGTTTCCGCAAGGGATACATCCCTTCCTATTTTGAAGCCTAAGGTTACATCAGCATTGCACAGGGCCTTGATACAATGTTCCATGTGATGCCTCGTTTCATACGGAGCCTATGATAAAAAAAGACTATAAGAACAAATGTCGAACGCATGGTAAAATGTCAGGTAATTAACTTGAGATGCATATCACACCGTCATAATGGATTTTTATACTCGGCTTCAATTTGTTTGTTCGATTTTAATTTGGCTCGGAGTTCAAGAAAGTTAAGAAACTTTTGAATCTTATGGTCTTAAACTAAAGATATGTAACCTTGGATCCTAAAGAGTTGCAAAAAAGGGGAGAGACATTCTTTTTGAAATAGACTAAAAAGGACAAACAAATCGAAACCGAAGTAGTATACTGCTTCTCGATAATCTTTCAATGAGAACTAACTGAGAAGTTCTCTCTAATTGCAGACGTTACCAACAATAACTCAGCAAGATTTACATTAAACGCTAGAAACTCATTTATCAAATCATAAAAGCATAGCGGATAACACGAAATGCATGAGAAGCTAAGAAAAGAGGATGAAACAGTTAACATTACCCAGTCATGGCATGCAACGAGAAAATGATCAGCCCCGCCAGTTCTGTTCCAGAAACGGTATTTTGCTGCAATCTTCTCTGAGTAGTCCTTCAAATATTGGCGTAGGTTTGTTCGATTATGAGAATTACGAACATATAGAGAATGCTCCAGCATTCTCGAACTAAAGGGTAGGTAGAACAAATGAGCTTTTCGGGGATCCTTCACAACAAACTTATTATTTCCCTCCATTAGTTTCATGAACCATCCCTCGGATGCATACAATCCTTTCATTATTGGTTGATGAAAAATGGGCTTCTCCCCTTCCTTGTAGACATAAACTCTGAGAATCCGCTCCATGAGTTCATAGCTCCTGCAAATTCAAGGAGGCATAACACGTTTGTAGATAAAGGGACTCACATATTGAATGTATAAGAAGTAACAGCGTTAATAAAGAAATAGTAAATACCCATAGGCTCAAATTTAGCTCTAGATAGAATAATGCATTACTCCTTCCATCTCGAATTATCTGTGCTTTTTTGCCTTACACGTCTCTTAAGAAATATTAATTAGGAGGTGTTTTGACTAATTTAATCTTATCTATATGTAAGTAGATAACTAAAGATCTTTCATTCTCTTTCTACTCTAGCTTTATAAGTTCTATCTATGATAAGTAGATTATACTGCAACTCAGCAAGAGCGCTATAGCAAAACCAATGAAGAAAATATCAGCTGGTATTATGCATCAAAATGTTACTAAACAGCTACAAACCTTTTGAACATGGACATATTTCGAAAGGCGGGAGCATAAATTTCTCGATCATTTCTTATAAGTGGAGCATTCTCTATCTGTAACCTAGCAGCCAGAATTTCCTTGTCACGTTCCGAGGACCACCTAGGTCTCTGGAATCCAATTTAAACAAAATAGAGGACAGTTAATTCCATCAACACTCAACAGTACACAGCAGCAAAAACATTCAGCAGGAGAAGAAGAAACATACCATAGCACGTGAACGAGCACGATGCCTAACTAGTAACCTTTCCATCTGAGAAATTGTAGTTACTGTTTTTGGCGGCAACATGCATCTCATCTTCTTTTTGACTGTACTTAGCACCAACGAATGATTTCCATTATTTGGGAGAAGTTGAGTCAAATTTCCCGTTGAAGAGTTGTTACCAGTAGTACGAATGAAGTTTATTTCACCTATAGCAACCAATGGCAAGTTATCTAGATGGTTTGAAGCTTCCACAGACGATGAGTTAGTCACATTTGCAGCTTTAGTATCATTAAGCACAGTATTTCTATTTGCATCTAAATCAGAGTCAGCTGAAAGTTCATCAGTTGTTTTTACTACTTGCTCTATAGAAAGGTCCCATTTAGATTCATTGTTCTTCTGCATTGTAGTTTCCTCGTCCATGTCCACCATTTCATCGAATAGATTATCATTTTCAATAGTTGCATCTTCAACAAAATCAGAGTCATTTTCCATGGTTTTGACAACTGAATGGTTGCTATGTGGTTTTACCTCATCCTTCTCATTTACGCTTTCATCAATTTCACCGTCTTCACTCACATCACTGTTATCCACAGTTTTCAAGCGATGAGCTAACATATGTACATCATCAAAGCTTGAAAGCGTTCCTGAAAATCCTTCACCAACCTTAGTTGATTCAACAACAGACGATTCTTTACTCAACAGACTTACCTTTTCGGATAGCTGAGTATTGCTCTCAGATAACAGAGAATGAAGAGCATTTCCATACGGAAGCATCAAGGTCTGACAAAATAAATGAGTCACAGCCACCAAAACCACTACCAAAATCCATTTTCTTTTATCAATTTGACACACAGATTGAAACTTCGAGCTGTACTTCATTCTTAAAGTTCAGCTCAATATCAATAGCTCGTCATAGCAATAAGAATATGCTTCATCATTTCCTGCATAAAAATCTACTATTCGTAAAAAATCTTGTACTTTTTACTATTCATGAACACACAGAGGAGAGGTAATCATCAGAGTCTTAAGCACAATCAATGCTTTGGTCGCGCCTACTGCCTTCCACTTAAACTATACATATTTCTTGAAAAAGATTTAAGGTTCAAAAACTAGCCCAATCTCCATATAATGATAGATTATGAAAAATATGTATTTTACACTATATTCAAGATGTACTAAAATTGAACTATCTACCATATAAGAGCTTGACTACAACAACAATATATCCAATGTAGTCCTACAAAGTGGGGTTTGGAGAGGATAGAGTGTGCGCATACCTTAACCCTAGCTTAGAGGTAAAGAGGTTGTTTCCGATAGACCCTCAGCTCAAGGAAAACAGTTCAGAAAAAGAATAATCAGAACTGAAAGCATAACAAGACATTCTGATCAGTAACTACAACAAAATAATACGATAACCAGAAGTACTAGAAACAACAAATAGTAATAGAAATCTAAGGACAAGAAACTACCGTAGTAGTACTACAACTACTAGTACAGAGTGATAGCAAGACAACCCTCTAATTTAAGGTCATGTCCTCGGTGAGCTAAAGCTGCATCATGTTTTGTCTAATCATCCCTTTCCAATGCTACTTTGTCCTACCTCTACCTCTCCTAAACTACCCATAGCCAAATTCTGACACTTCCGCATTGAGGCATCCGTACATTTTCACATGTACAAACCATCTAAGTCTTGCTTCCTGCATGTTGTCCTCCACAGAAACCACTCCCATCTTGTCCTGAATTACCTCATTTCTAATCCTATTTCTCCTAGTACGCCCACACATTCATCGCAACATCCTCATTTCCGCAACTTTCATCTTCTATATGTGAGAATTCTTGATGGGACAACACCCAATACACCATGGTTGGTCTAACCACCAACAAAATAGCTTGACTAAGCTGTCAATAACAATCTTTAGCTGCGAATTCAAGCTCCAAGTACTAAAACAACAACAGGGTATCTCTTAAATATGAACATAAAAGCAAGCAAGGAGCTGAACTTTTTTATCAACTCAAGCAATATCTTTAGCTTCAAATTCAAGCTCTACGAGCCAAAACAACAATTGTGTTATCTCTTAAACTTGAACTTGAACATAAATGTTACTAAAAGCAAGAAAAGAACATAACTTTGATCAACTCAAGCACAATCTTTAGCTTCAAATTCAAGCTCCAAGAACCAAAACAACAACTAAATATCTCTATAAATGAACATAAAAGTTACTAAAAGCAAGATAGAAACTGAACTCTATCAACTCAAGCACAAAATTGATCAAGCTCCAAGAACCAAAACAACTACAGGGTATTTCTAAAATGGGCATAAAAGGTACTAAAAGCAAGAAAAGAACACAACTTTCTTATCAACCCAACCACAATCTTTATCTTCAAGAACCAGCTCTATGAGCCAAAAACAACAAATAGGTATCTCTAAAATGAGCCTAAAAATAACCAAAAAACAAGAAAGAGCTAAACTTTGATCACCTCTAACACAATCTTTACCTTCAAATTCTAGCTCCATGAGCCAAATCAACAATTGGGTATCTCTAAAATGAACATAAAACTAATTATAAGCTAAAAAAGAACTCAATTTTGATAAACTCAGGCATTCTTGAAATAAAGCATTACCCAGCAAAATATCAAAACTTGAAGCTCAGCTCAGCAGCTGTCGGTAGTGGCCACAAACACTCGAGAAAAAAAAATATTAAGAAGTTTAATTTATTGGATTAGCAAAATCCATTAATTTTTCTGGAATTTTTATCAAACCAAAGCTAATGTTTTTTAGTATATCAAAATGGAACAAGAGTGTTCTTTTCTCCTTTTATATATAAGAAAAAATAGTCAATCTTTGTCTTGTAGCATTATTGTTCATGGTTACTCTTTCATTTTTAATTAGAGTCTTCGCGTAATCATAAAGATATTAATTACGTAATAATATATAAATTTTATTTTTGTGAAATTAATCAAAATAGAAGGTGACTAGGTATGTAAAATCTTACCATTTTTTGTACATATTTTGAATGTTTAGTAGCAATTTTTTTTATAAATTATATTGTTTACTAAGCTTTTTTAGTGTGTGTTAGCTCATGAATATTTTGTGATATGTTTTCAAATGATTTTTTTACAAGACTTTTACGAAATTCTCCGAAAGGAGTTGAGGGAGCACGTGAAACTTTAACATCTTTTTCACATATTTTTTATATATATGAGCCATTTTATAGAAAGTAGACGATTTTTTAAAATTATTTTTTGTGTTAACCTATGAATATTTTGATGATATAACTTTCAAACGAATTTCTTACAAAATCTTTACGGAGTTCTTTGTAGAGAGTCGGAGAAACAGTATATCAAGCCTCACCATTTTTATATATTTTAGACATTTAAGAATCATTTTATAGAAATTAGACAATTTTCTTACCATCACATATGTTCACTTATAAGCTTAAAATTTTAAAACAAAATCAAAATCTTACATTAAAATCAGAACTTCTAAAGTTTTAAAATTATAAAAAAAAATAATAAATAATTTAAGTGATTAGCTAAAATAAATATTGAATTTTGGTGATTTAATCCAAACTTAAAATTTAACCCTTTCATCTATCTCAAATTATAACTTCAAATTTACCCTTTTTTCTTTAGGGTTTTGTGGCTGCCCCATTGACAGCTGCTGGTGAGTTTCTCTTCCAAACTCTTGATTTTTTGCTTAGGTAATTCTTTATTCTATGATTTTTCTTGCAGAAAATGGTCAAATCTTTTCTCAAGAATAGATGATTTTATTAAATTTAACCCAATTATTAGTTTGGCTTATAAAACTTGAAATTTTGAAGGTAAAGATTGTGATTGAGGTGATTAAAGCATTGTTTAGGTCTGGATGCTTGGATGCTGGACAAAAGTTAGGGTGTCGAGTTGAGGAGAAAGCCGAAGCAAACTGTCAAGAATGTACACAAGTGAGTAATTCCTAAAAGTTCCAATTTTTGTGTAAGGTATTAGTTTTACCATAGAGTAGAGGAACCAAGATTTTTTTCGCATGTGTTTTTGGTATAACTATCAAATCTATGTAGCATGTTTTAACTTAATAATTTTTGACTGCTTGAAGCTTAGAAGAAATTTCACGAGCATATAGTAGCAATGATTAAGTAATCTTTCTCTAGTGAGCAGTTTAAGTACAACTTTTAGCAAAACTTAAGCTTTCATAAGTTTGAGTGTTTGGCAATTCATCACCATACTTATATATGAAGCTTGTTAAATTAGGTATATCCAATTCAACATCAATCAAATCTAAGCACCACAATAGTGTAAGATACTTCAGCGGAACTTGACATCTTGATTGTATGCAATTTAAAGTAACTAGATAAGTACAAATATTCAAGGTTTGGTTGACGGAAAAGAAGGTCTTCCAGCTATATGTGAGTAACACTCACGTCGACGAGGTGCAAAGTTTTCAAGGTTTTGCCACAAGTTTTATTTACTCGTTGATTCCAGTGACGACTTTCAATGCAAGGATGTTCAAGATTCGGTGCTACGATATCAAATCATCGTGATTCAAGAAGACAAAGTAGCCAAACTATCTTCAGTTGCAATAAAGGTTATGCAATTTGCAAATTGGCTAGTCCATGACAACAAGATACCCTTAAATCCTTTATGCCAATGCAGTTTGCACATAAAGCTTGAACAAATTGCTCATCCAAGACATAACTTTCGCAAATATGAAAATTTATGCCAAGATCAGGGGCAATCCATGCTTAAATCTGCATATTAGTCCTTGAGCAGTAAAGATTTCTTCAAGCAAGATGTTGAAATCGTCAACATGTCCATATACTTTTAAAATCAACTCCTTGATGGTACTCACGACGAGGGTCTCGATCCAATTATGAACATTAGAGATGATGAATTGATAGGATGAAAACTTAGCCAAAACTTTTTTATAGAAACCTTTTGCTTTTTGTCGATGGGCTAGAATTTGATCGACAATATTCACAAGTTTTGGTTTTCTTTTTCTGAAAGTTCCAACAGTTATCCATTTCATGATAGGAAGTTTTATTGCCAAAATTAAGTTGCAGAGGGAATTCCAACTAGTATACCATATCTTGGACAAAGTACTCATTTGTGCAGCATATTTCGCGAGGAGTAAACATAGAAAATGCTGCAAATTTGGCTCTGACAACAATTTGGATATTTGATCATTTACTGCATCAACTCTTGTATCTTCCATCACTCACAAAGATGTTTATGATTTTTTCCCCAAAAATCAAAAAGGAAAAAATCATGGAAAGATTTTCTTTTTGATTATGGTGACAAATTTTCATTAACATGTAGAAGAATTGCACAAAGCAAAATTCCTTCCTTAATTTGTTTGAATACTGGTATATGTTACCAGAGCCAATTTTGCAGCACTTGCTGTCTTTACTCCTTGCTAAAGATGCTGCAAAATTGAGTACTTTGTCCAAGACATAGTACACTGTTTGGAGTTCCCACTCCTACTTAAATTTTGGTGACGAATTCTTCTTTTGTGAACGGGATGGCCGTAGGATAGTTTCAGAAAAAATACCAGAGCTTGTGAATATTGTCGACCAAACTCTAGCCAAGCGGCATGAACAGAAGGTTTCCGTACAAAAATTTTGGCTAAATTTACCATCCTTTCATCATATCAACTTATCTCAAGTTCATGATTGGGTTAAGACCCTTGTCGCGAGTAACATTAAGGAATTGATTTTAAATGTTGATGGAATTGTTAACAATTTCAACAGCTTGACTGAAGAATTCTTTGCTGCCGAGAAACTAAATGTTCTTGATATACAGGGATTTAATCTTGAATTGCCCCTTGAGCAGGGCATAAAGTTTCCATATTTGCAAAAGGTAAGTCTCTCTGATACACATTTTGACGAACATTTTGTTCAAGCTTTATGTGCAAGTTGCAGTGCTTTAGAGGATTTAAGGTTAGCTAGTTGTCAGGGACTAGGCAGTTTACAAATCGCAAGGAATTTACTAAAACTAAAGACGGTTTTGCTATGTTGTCTTGCTGAACTAACGATGGTTGATATTGTAGCACCAAATCTTGAAAATCTTTACATTGAAAGTTGTCGTTGGATGCTACAAGTAGTTAAAATAACTTGTGGAAAAACCTTGAAGTATTTGTGTCTCGTCAATTTGTTTGTCACTGATGGATGGCTAAAAGACCTTCTTTGTAATCAACCCAACCTTGAAGAATTTCACTTAAGGGGTTGCTTAAAATTGCAGAAAGTCAAGATCTCAAGTGACCGACTCAAGTATCTTTCACTATCACGGTGCTTAGACTTGATTGACATTGAATTGCATACTCCTAATTTAACTAGCTTCACATATGAGTGTAGTGTTAAATTGCCAACATTCAAACTTATGAAAGCTTCAGTTTTGCTAGAACTTGTACTCGAATTCTGCGTAGGTGGAGATAAATTTGATAGTCATTGGTACTGTATGCTCATGAAATTTCTTGGAAACTTCAAGCAATCGAAGTCTATTAATTTACAATGTTTGTTCCCGCGTGGAATAGTTATACCAAAAGACATGAGAAAAAACTCAGATCCTCCGCTCTTTGGTACTATTGCTACCTTGCATATAGAATACGGATTTTTGGTGAATTGCTCACTTGACATTGTTGATAGTTTTCTTTGGATTTCTCCTCAACTCAACACCTTAACTTTTGTCCGGGATTCGGACTTAAGCTGTACCTTGAAGTTTATATATGAAGATGCGTCAGCTGAAGATGAGAAAACTTTTCGGAGTCATAAGTTAAAGGAAGTCGAAATGGAAAACTTTACATGTATGGAGCAACAGGAGTTGAGAAATTATCTTTTCACAAATGAAGATCACATCGGTGAAGAAGCGTCCATTGTCTAATAGATCGGACAGAGGTCTTCCAAAGCTTTGGTAATAAGTTCTAATCCTTGTGGACACAATTTATTTTCATGTTATATTTGTTTTAAAATATTTCCATATGTTTGTTGTGTTTCAAGATAATTAAATGTTTGCCACCATTATAAATTCAGGTTGTCCAAACTTTTTTGAGAATGAAATGATACTCATGGAGTGTGCTTGTGATTACTGTACAAGCAAAGAGTTGCATTTACTCGTGAACGATGATGAAGAGGCTATAGAAGATATCGAGAAGTTGTTGTTGGTTATTATGCTATTTGGTGCACTCAAGGAAGTCGAGCTAATGCTTGAAGGTTCTGTTGAAGTTTCAATTCCTCCCGTCCCGTTTTCCTTTTCCTGTTCTGTTTAGATTGACTGTGTTTTCCCTTACTTTTTGTATGCTATGTTTCTTGGATTGTTGCCTCATCCATGTCGGATCCTCCAAAAATGCAACATAACTTGTATGTTGTCTGCATTATGTTTCTTGAAATGAACTATTCCGATTTCAAGTCTCTATCTTTCGAAATTACTGTTCTGATACATTTCATGTATGTGATATTTACTTATATTTATAACAAATTAAGAACTTTGCTTTGTGCAATTCTTCAGCAAGTTAATGTTAGTTTTCCCCTTTTACTAGTATTTGTTGCAGCAGAGTGTAAAAGGTGCAGATTATTCGCGAAAATAATCTAGCGGTGAACACAACTAATGCTTCATTCATCATCTTTTGTGTGTGTATGTATTATGAGGATACATACTTTCTACAATAGTAGCATCAGGATCAACTTATGTGCAACTCGACTATTCCACTTCAACTTTTGCTACCTAAATTATGTCAATTCACTTTTGAGCAACTCGATAGGAATCAGAAGAGAAAGATAAAAGTATCCAAAGGGCATACATGTAGTTGTAAAAAAGATGCAACAAACAAAATAAAAATTCTACAACAGTTTTCATTTCCTAAGAATACATTAAACTTTAAGATCTCCATTCTTCAATTCAATTCCATTTTCCTCTGATGAGCAATACCTTTTCCAAAACCAATGTTTTTCCCACAGCAAATAAATCTCTTCAATGGGAACTTGCTTTGTCTCAGGCAACAGAAAGTATATGAAGCAAGTCATGATTATAATAAATCCAGCAAATAACAAGAATACGCCGTATCTAAGGTGACACAATGAAACCAAGAAACATTGCGCGATTAGGCTTGTGAATATCATGTTAACACAAACAACCATACTTTGTCCTGCTGATCTTGTTTCTAGAGGGAAAATTTCACTTGGAACTAACCAACCTAAAGGACCCCATGATCTTCCATAAGCAAGAACAAATATGCAAATTATAATCACTAGGAATATCCCAATTCCTTTTGGGAGTATTACACCTTGTCCAAACTCCAATGCTAGAGTGATAGCTACCGCTACCTGTTTGATCAAAATTTCAAGCAAGTAAGGGCGCGTTGAAGTGAATTGGGAGATCAACGTCAGGATGAGAAAAGAATTACGAGGAAAGAACCATTGGTATCAACATGAACATGTATAGAAGTTATATACACTCACAAAATTACTATTTTCACTTTTCTATGAACGTTGATGTATAGAAGTTGTCAGTGTATAGAAGTTAAACGAGAAGTTACCATGACACATATCATCTCAACACCAGCTTCCAAGAAAAAAGCTCTTCTACCAAACTTGTCAACGAATGTCATAGAGATTAATGCAGCTATGACAAGCGCTCCACCGGTGATAGCAGATGAATATAGAGCAGCACCAGAGCCAAATCCTAAACTCTGGAAGATAACAGGGGAATAAAACAGAATAGAGTTCATCCCACTGAGTTGTTGAAATGCTGGAATAGCTAACGCTCCGATCACTAACTGTGGTCGATTTTTTCTTGAAAGTAAGTTTCGAAATGGATGTTTTATAGCTCTTGCTGCATTGCTTGCATCGACAAGATCAGCAAATTCTGCATCAACTCTTGTTGTGCCTCTAACTTTTTCCAAAACTTGTCTTGCTTGCTCTAATTTGCCTGTTGAACATATTTCAAGCGAAAACACTAAGAGCGGGATTTTCACTAAGGGAGTTCAGAATATAAAGAAGTAAGACATACGAAGAAGTTAAGAGGATTCAGTATCTACTATATATATATATATAAAACATTGACCTTAGGACTTTGTCTAGTCAGTGTAATTTTCCGATGAAGGGTGTTTGGTGCCATCCTTTTAAGGAGGCTTCTAGACGAACATACTTACCCTTACCCGTAAGGGGATTCAGAATGTAAAAAAGTAAACAAATCAACAAGCCACGAGACTCAACATGTACTATACATACATATACAATAATTTTACCCCGTTTGACTTGATACAGAGTTTAAGAAATAAATACAGACTCTTGAAATTTGTCGTGTAAAACGAACCTTACCTTGTTCTACGAGGCTATTAGGCGTTTCGGGGAGGAAAAGACCACCAATAAACATGAATAGAGCAGGAATTGTTGCTATTCCAAGAGATAATCTCCAACCCCATGGATGAATTTTAGCAGTTCCATAGTTAACAAAATTGGCTATTAATACTCCCAAACAAGTTGAGAGTTGAAACAATTGGTTAACTGCTCCTCTTACTTTTGCTGGTGCCATTTCTGATAGATATAATGGAACAGCCTGTAATATTTTGCTCGTGACAAAATCAACTCAATGACAATGACAATGAATTTTGAAACTCGTTAACGAAAATATGAGTACGTTGTGAGTTACCTGATTACTAAAGCCGATGCCAAAGCCGAGAAGACATCTACCAATGATGAGCATAGCGATGTTTGTCGCAGCAGCGTTAAGAACAGCTCCTACAAAGAAACTAATAGCACCACATAAAATACTTGCTTTTCTACCTTTTTTTCGAGTAATATGTGATGCACCAAATGCTGAAATTAGTGCAGCAAAATATAAAGATGATGTGAATAATGTAAGTATTTGATTGTCATATTTGCAATAATCTGTTTCTTTTAGATGTTCTTGTTTCCTTTTGTACACTTCTGGGAAAAATATTTTTAAGAAATCATCCATTGAGGTCACACCACCTGAAAAATAATAATAACATTAAAGCGTGTCGTGAAGAACTGAAATTAAAACATTGCTAAAAGTGAAAAGAGATCATTCTTTTTAAAACAGACTAAACATGAAAGTATGTCATTCTTTTTGAAATAACGAGAGTAGTCATGTGATTGGTATGATGTGTCAAAAAAGATTTTTCGATTAGAAAGATTGGGCCACGCAAAGACAAAACGAACAAACAAACAAACAAAAAGTCAAATTCAATATGAAAAGATAGAAGCTGACAATTTGTAAAGTCAAGATGAGTGTGAACATATACTCCGACCTTATGCCAAAATTGGAGGTAAGGAGGTTGTTTTGAATAGACGCTTAGTTTGGATTATAAAGCAATTTGTAAAACGAAGAAGCCAAGACAAAATATTGAAATAATCATGAAAAGAGTACATATAGTTCGGATTACAAAGCAATTTGTAAAATGAAGAAGCCAAGACAAAATACTAAAATAATCATGAAAAGAGTACATACTAAAGCATGATTAGTAACTAAAAGAAAATAATATGATAATTAAAGTGTAAGAAACATTAAATAAACGATTACTAGTATAAAAAAAAAAGCCAGATAATTCTCAACAACCTAACTTACCTACATAGCCTTCTATTTAAGATCACGTCCATGATAAGCTGAAATTGTTGTCATGTTATGTCTGATCACTAAGTTGAATGATGAAAAATATTTTTCAAAAAAAAAACAATTTTTTCCCAATTCAACACTAAATGAAAATTAGAAACTATTTCAAATGGACTAAAAGAGAAAAATATAAAAGTAAAGAAAATCATTTTCCCCTTTTAGTAATTTAATGTTTGATTTGCCACAAGATTGAACTTATTTTTATTGAAATTTTTTATCTTCCTTCTAATCAAATACAAAGATAATTATCTAAAATATTCCCTTTTACTAATCATACTCATACAACAAATTGATTAGTTTTTTTTTCCCTTAATAATTGAACTCATATAGCTTAGATCTTAAATCCGTCTCTGACACACTGTTCATGTACATATATGTTATATACTAGATCTCTTTGACTTCTTCCTTGTTTATTTATTATTTTACATTTTAAACCATTTTAATGAAAATTCTGGCTCTGACGTAAACTCCGAACAAAACAAAATTGTACTTACCAGAGATGCCAAGATCATAACCAAATAGAGAACCTCCAATGGCAGCAACAATACATGAACAAACAAAATAACTAGTAATTTTATACTCATAAAGATGAGCTCTTGCTCCTCTACTTTTATCATCAAATCCACCACCAGCCATTTTTTTTCTTAATTACAATATTTAGGAACTAATTAGAATTTTTTAATGAAAAAAAGGGAATGTTGATAGAGAAATATATTGAGAAGAAAAGTTTGTTATTTATGCATGTTTTAAGGTGATTTAAAACAGACAAAGGATAATATTATTCATCCTAAAAAAGAAATGAAAATTAAAATTGTCTTTTAAAGAGATTAATTTAGACAATTTTAAGTGAGTAAACAAGTCTTCATATTTTTTTTTCATTAAATGTGAATATGATAGATTTAGAACATTAAAACAAATAAAAAAAAAGATTAATTCTATGTTTAGTAAAAGAAATAAATATATTTGACTAAGCACATGATCTAATTTCCAATTAATCGAAATATGCACTTTTGATTTCTTAATCAACTATATGTCATGTTAAATTAACAATTTGTTACATCTTATGTCATATTTGATAGTGATATTAATATAGTTTTAAATATAATTTATTTTCTATAAACTAAGAAAACATATTTTAATTAATAGAATGATAAATATGTTGAGTCATATATCACAAAAATTTACTAATTACACAATTATATAGAATTCAAGGTCTATGTACTAACGATATCAAAAGATATTGCATTTAAAAAATCATTATATGTAAATCTTTCGATAAACATTAATTAGCATTTAGGTAACATAATAAATAACTTATTGTCGCATGGTAAAATTCACTAATTGTACAGAAAAATATTTACATTGTTGGTATAGTAAAATAAATCCATTTGTATAGTAAAGATTTAAGTTATATATACGAACATTGTAGAAAAAAAAACATTATCAATGTTATTTTACCTTTGATATAATATGTTAGTTCTTATTATTATTTTTATTATATTATTAATTAGTGTTTATCATAAATTTTTTCTTATGATTAACCTAAAATTATTTTAATTGTAAATATATTTGTCCATCCAAGCTATGTATACTTTATGTCTATTTCAAAATTTCACTTAATCTAACTCTATTTTTACTAACAGAAACAATAATAATGAATTTGAAAGAATAGAATATATAATGTTCCCTTTTTTTATTAGTCCCTATGTTATTTGTTTTGAATTTTACTTGTTTATTTTAGCAAATAAAAATAATTCTATTTGTTTCTTCTACAAATAATTATATAAACACTTGTAATCAAATTTAGATTTTTAAAATATAGTTATTCAGGATAACTCAATTAGAAAAACCTTACTACTAAATAGT